ACACACACACACATATATATATACAGATGGAGCTAAAGAAGATTCACTTTAGTCGTGTGGTCATAAGCAAAAAAAAATATGATGCAATATTTATATACATTTTTAATTGAACACGGGTCGGAATATACGGGCGTTCTCGACTGCGTTCATTTACAGTTAGTCGTTCGTTCGAACACCATAGGCAATCGTATTCGGGCTAGCGACCAAGTGCAACTGCGCCATTAGTGCTGACACCTAGCGCCTGCCAATCCAGAAAACCCTCATTCGAGAAAAAAAAACAGTGTGCTTATGACCACACGACTGAAGTAAAACTTCTTTAGCTCCATCTGTATATATATATATATAGTTATGTGTGTACAATATATACATGTATGTACATATTTCATTTACTAGCTATAAGAGAAAGAGAGAAAGAAATGTGCGCGCGCATTGCTTTCTCTTGCTTATATCCCCCACTCAACTCCCGTTCGCCTAGCCCGAACACACAAATCTCACATTGCTTACTGAGACTGTAGCGGAGGCGCTTGACGATGGAAAAGAAATTGATGTATTGTATACAGATTTCGGTAAAGCATTTGATAGGGTTCCGCATCAGATTCTTTTGTCGAAGCTGGCTGCTTATGGCATAACCGGTTCTCTGTACTCATGGATAAAATCCTATCTTCATAATCGTACATGTTTCGTGGTGGTTAATGGATACCAGTCATTACCATATATCATTGTATCAGGAGTACCGCAAGGTTCGCATTTAGGTCCGCTTTTCTTTAATGTATTTATTAATGATATTTCTAACTGCTTTTTGCACTCTATACCGCTTTTATATGCTGACGACTTAAAATTGGTCAAAACCTGCCAGTCTGATGAAGATACAAAGCTGCTTCAAAGTGATGTCAATCGTATGGTTGAATGGTGCCGGATTAATCAAATGGAATTAAATATTAAAAAATGCTATCACATGAAATTTTCTCGAAAAATAAACTCCCTAAAATCCGACTACAATATCAACGAGCAGCCGGTTCAACAGACTGAGATTGTAAGGGATCTTGGTGTTACATTTGATAAGAAATTGACTTTCATTCCACACATGGAAAATATAATTAAAAGAGCAATCAGGATGTTAGGATTTCTAATTCGCAACACTAGAATCTTTAAAGAGAATCAGATGAAGATTCTTCTTTATAACTCTCTGGTGCGTAGTATTCTTGAGTATTGTAGTGTTGTTTGGAGGCCACATTTTGCTGTCCATTATTTAAGATTGGAACGTATACAAAAGCGGTTCGTTTCCTTGGCTTTCAGGAATGGCATAGCATTAAAGACACGTTCTTATAATAAAAGGCTGCACTACTTCAAAATGACGTCATTGGAAAACCGGAGGAATTGGCTTGATCTCTCATTCCTTTCTAAAATGTTAAATAATAAAGTAAATGGCCCGCAATTATTGCAAAAATTTAAACTTCGTGTTCCTAGAAAGATTCCCGGTACCCCCATAACACCATTGTGTCCTCCTTTTCGTAAAACAGTACATGGCTCAAACTCCCCAATACCAAGGTTGTCAAAGGTCCTTAACGGTTGTAGTGATATAATTGATATTTTTATGGATTCACTTCCTAAGCTCAAAAGAATATTGTCCCAAACATGGCACCAAACTAACTGATTAAGCTTGATAGTTATATGAAACTGTATTGTAATTTTATAAATTAAAAAGAACAACGTTATAAATAAGGAAATAAATAATAATATTATTGTAATGAACTTAATGCCTATATTTGGCGTCTACTTTAATGCATGCGGTGTTTACCTTAATAGATTGTTTCACTAGAGTGCATAGTTAATCTTGTAAATAGTTTTAAGAAATGTGTAAACAAACACTGGTAAACCATATAATAAATAAATAAATAAAGAGAAAGAGAGAAAGAAAATGTGCGCGCGCATTGCTTTCTCTTGCTTATATCCCCCACTCAACTCCCGTTCGCCTAGCCCGAACACACTATTCGTAACGCGTAACCCATTCGCCAGCTTACCCCCCAAGTCAAGAGTGCATAACTTAGATTAAAACAAAAAGGGAAGATACGGCACTCGCGGCTCAAAGTGATCCGCTTAAATTGTGGTGTATGACCATAATTCGCTTTAGTCACAATTGGACATTCAAACACGCTGCATGTGCACTCAATATAACAATATTGCGTATATTCTGTGTTATAAAGACAAAACCATGCCTTCGATGCTTTTATAAAGAACACAAATAGTTCAAAATAACAAATAACAAATGCCTCGGCAACACTTTTCATTCATAAAACTGTAAAAACATTATTTTCTCAAAAATCACGGATTGTCGTGAATGTCATTTGCCATTTTCTTATCAAGAAAAGGACAAGAATGCGCTGCGTTGAAGCGTATAGTTCTGTCTCGCTCGCTCGATTGAATGTTTATATACAGACGTGTGCGTGTGAGAGAATTACTTATGTAGTTGAGTCGGATCATATTTTATTCGTTGCTAGTATGAGCGCACAGCGATCTACCCTTTTTTTTTAATCTAAGGTGCGTAAAGAAGTTTATAACACATTTGCTCGTAAAGCGTCTCTTACTGCATCAATTTCAATATCATAATCTATCACATTACACACGCGTGTGACAAGGAATTACGCTTAATGGTTTCTTTCTTATTATTAAAAATAATCACTTTAAAAGATATTAGAAACAGCTACGTAATAAATACCTTATGGGACGGGATGTCTGCTGTCCGGACCCGTGGATGACTTGTTGTCCACTGCACCATTAACTTCTTAATAAAATCCACAGGCGTTTGCGAATACCTTAAGTAGACTCCACCATCGAGTTGTTAACCAAAAGGCTTTTATTTTATAGATGTGTATCAAAGCTTTATTAAATCATGAAAAACCTTTAACGGATTCCTTGTCACTTTTAAGAAAGTTTGTATTGGATATATAATGTATTTCTAGTCTGGATAAGAAGATATTTTACAAAATAGAATACTAACTGTGATTGGTTGCTAACATGGCCGCCCATCATAAGTCCATATGTTTTTGTTTTCTTTTAAAGAAAGGAGCAATGTTTTGTTGTACTGATAATATGACAATTATCTTTGAATGTTTTAAAGAGATTTATGTTAGTATAAAATAAAATTATTAGGCTACCATAGGCTTGAATAGTCATATTGTTAAAGATGGCGCCACTAATAACTTGTTTGAGGAGGGTTGGTCTAAAGTATAAATTCAGATGTCTGTTGATTTGATATTCATTACTTTATCAGCGAGTCTTCAGATATTAGTGTGCAGCCTAAACAGCCAGGGTCATGTGAGTTAAGTAATCATTTTCCTATTGTTGTTTATAACTTTTATTGGAATGATATTATTGTTTAATATTGTAAGTTATAATATAATAATATGCTTTGTCTGTCATTTACAATAGAAATAACTTCTTTGTTCTTATAAAGGAAAATAAGAAGTTTAGTTATTTGTGAGTAAAGATTTTATACTTTGTTTTGATATTTTGGTTGAAATAATCTGTATGAAATAAAACAGGGAGAAAAGAACAGCCCTTGCCGAGTTTCTTGCCGGTTCTTCTCAGTACAAGGTCTCCCGCCGTAGTTTTGCGAACCGATGGCGTAGTTTTCGACTTTCACATGTAATTGTAAAAGCTTAAACTGAATAAATGACTTTTTGAATTGAATTGAATAAATAGTGTTTTTTTTTAATATTTATAATTTCGAAGGTAGATATTTTTCTTATAAAGTAAAGAAATCCGAGTCTATTATACAGTTATATTTCAATTCTATTTCTTTTTATTACTTTATAGAAGTTTCAAAGTGTTTATAAAATAAATAGATAATGAAATCATAACACGTGCGGTAATGTAAAGTAAAACGCACGGCTTATTAAGTTCCGTCTAAAATCGAACGATACTTTTTTAAATCTTAGCAAAGAGTTTTTATGACAAAAAGGTAGCTAACATTTTCCTAATAAAATTAACTTTGGGTGATAAAATTTCGGTATAAATATTTAATTCTTTAATTTTCATTTTGACAATAAATTACAACCATGTATCGGTAACAAATTCACAAAAATATTAATTTACTTTATTAGTAACACTGACTGTTTTTTGTTCCTTTGCCTAAAAAAAGGCGTTGATGCGCGCGCATCGCTAATCTGTGAAAAAGTTATTTATTTTGCTTTTCGCTGTATTGTTTTTATTTGAAAATATTGTCAAGTAGGAACGAATTTATTAATTTTACACCGCCAGAAGTCAAAGGCTAAGCCTCTTACCCGAAAAATCCACGGAATGATACTTACAATCAAGCGTATCAAAATTTCATCTTATGGAAAACAAACAAAGGTTTAAATTCATTTTCAGAACGTACGTACGTAGAAAGTATTATTTCCTTGCAAATGTGTTATAAAACGTCGTTGACATACGTGCGATTTGATAATTACAGCCTCTGCCTTCTTATAACAATATCGCCTCGGCTGTAATAGGGTATTTGACAAGTTTTAGAAAACGATCTCACGTTATTGCCTAATGTTTATGGAGTCCGTAAAAAGTGGATATTCATCATTCTGTTGTGTATTTCAGTAAATAACCAAATCAAAAACTCCATTTTCAAGTGACGCGTAAAACGTATCTCTGTACAATATGGCGTCTCACTGGTGTGTGACGTCACACGACTGTTATTAAAACGTCAAACCATACAATCTAATAACACTTTAACCGGAAGTTTACTTGCGTGTGACGTCATTTTAAGCTCCACCAATCCCAAGCGTTTTGGGTCACGTGACAATAGATAAGAAAACTATTATCTTTTTCGTGGGTTTTTAGTAAAATTATGAATAGTTTTTCCGTAAAAATAGTAAAAACCCCTGCCAATATTCATTCTAAATACAGTGGCTTACAATTGGAACTTTATTTTTAATACTGTCAAATACCCTCTTCTCTGAATTTACCGCACTTATGTCATAATCAAATCTCCATTCTGTAGTACTTACAATCCTCGGTTGCGCGGCGTTAGTGAGGGCTGGCGCACGAGCGACAGCGGGCGCACAAGCGGCGACTAAACGCTTGGCCATCCGCTCCGCTCGTGCCAAGTCGCGGCGGTCGCGAGTACTCGGTTTGGGGACTCTTACTCGAGTTACTGGTTTCCTACTACCGCCCTCCGATTGATCTGTTAACCGTAAATAAACAAAATCATAATAAATAAATAATAATAATTAAATATTTCATACACACTCCAATTAGCCTAGCCCCAAAGTAAGCATTGTAAAGGCTTGTGTTATGGGATACTAGGGTAACGGATAGACTACATATACTGTACATATATAAGTATATTAAGGTCAGTGCATTCGCCCGGATAGCGAAGGGTGCGGATTCGAGTCCCGTCTGCTGCTTGGTCCACGTGGATTTTTTTCTAATAATATTTTCTTTAGATTTAAGCTCTTTGTGTTTTTAGATAGTCCAAATAGGGTATTTAACAAGTTTTAGAAAACGATCTCACATTAATGACTAATTTATGGAGTCCGTAAAAAGTGGATATTAATCATTCTGTTGCGTATTTCAGTAATTTATATAGAAATACATATTAAACATTCATGCCTGGAGTACAAATGCTCGTATTCATCACACAAACATCTGCCCCCACCGGGATTCGAACCCAGGACCTCTCGAGTCGGCGACACCATGAAACCCGGCGTACAAACCACTCGGCCACGGAGGTCGTCAAAATCATCATCATCATCAGCCAATTAATCTCCCCACTGCTGCTTTCAACTATTGGGAAAGATTTCCAATTGACGTTTCCATGCTATATCGATTTGGAGAATTCAATCTTATTGCAATGAAAATGTTCTACTTTTAACTATATTTCAATGAAATGGATCCTATGTTTAAAGATCGACGGGTCAGTGGTTAGCGCGTTCGTCTGCGATCGTGGAAGTTAAGCCTTTTCGCCATGCCAGAAATAGGATGGGTGACCAATATTTGTAATATCGATCTTTTCCGTGCATCGGATGATGGCACAGTCAGCCACACATAAAGTTACCGCAGCATGACATTCTTTTTCAATCGATTATGATCGTGATTCGAGTCATATAAAGTTCGAAATAATTAGAGGAAATTTGATAGTTCAGGTTATCTTGACCTATTTTCTGCTATCTACTCCATGTCATATGAATCATTGTCATCGTTGTCAAGCTTAGAACCTACATCATCATCAGCCTATTAATGTCCTCACTGCTGGGGCACAGGCCTTCCCTATGGATGGAATAGGGAGATTGGGCCATGACCCACCACGCGGGCCCAGCGGGGATTGGTGGGTGCTAACGACTGCAGATGCAGCCAGGACCAACGGTTTAACGTGCTTCCCGAAGCACGGAGGAGCTCGAGATAGTAAATTTTTGGCCACCCATCCAATGACCGACCACTGCGAAAGTTGCTTAACTTCAACGCTCGCAGCCGAACGCGCTAACCAATTGCGTCATCGAGCTCCTCAAAATGTAATCGTATATGTGAAATAATGCTACCAAGAGAGGTAGTGGATATCCCGCTCGAAATTTATCGATTTATTGTTACGTATAAAGATAAATTTTAAGTATAAAGTCATAATGATAGCGGCGCGGCGTATGCAGACGCACGGTAAGCATTAAAATTAGGTTATTGCTAAATGATTTGATTAATTGTAAGATTACTTCGTACACACTGTCGCAGACTTCTTTATAGCCAGCTAACTTATTAACTTATTCTAAGTTGCGAAAGGACAATTATTTTCTCGTTTTTGTAACATTTTTCATTGGCGGCACGGCTCTTATTCGACGAAGAGTCATATTAAAACGCTTTTATCGATAAATTATTATCTAACACAAGTATTATAGATATTAACGGGATTGTTAGCATGTACCTTGTTTTTTATGAGTCTCCGATATTTCGGCACTGTTGCAAGCGCCATGATCACGGAGTAACTGTGTTACTCTTATGAACTCACTCACTTAAATTATGTAATACCTCCGCACACTCTCCGAAATGTAACCGATAAAACACCGAAAGGCAAGCTACACGTCTTCGGTGGTCAAGGCTCTGAAGATTAGCCTCAACGAGAGCGTCATTGCCTATGAGTCTCTTCGCACGGTGTTCCACCGAGTCCAGTGCATCCAGCTGATACCGAGCAGATCCGTCCCAAAGGTGACAACAGTACTCCAAGCAGGAGCGAACTTGGGCTCGGTAAAGGTTAAGGAGCTGCTCAGATGTAAAATATCGCCTGACCTTAGAAAGTATTCCAAGTTTTCTGGCAGCGGTTTTAGCAATGGACTCGATGTAGCGACCGAAATTGAGGCTGGATGAGATGTCCATACCCAAGAGCTCGAGATGGTCTTTAACCGGCACGGAGACATTTCGGAAAGTCGGAGTCAGATGGAATGGACTCCGTTTCGTCGAGAAGAGACAGGCCTGTGTTTTAGAGGGATTGAACCCAACCAAGTTGGCTTCACCCCAGAGGGAAACAGCTTCTAGGGTTGCATTCACTCCCTCCACCATCGCCTCCCTTAATGATCGGACATCTGCATCAGACTTCACATCAGGCAGATATCTCCCCGAAACTGTGCTGTCGTCTGCATACCCAAAGATACCGGGAGTTAGGAGCAGATCATTGATGTGCAGCAAGAAAAGAGTTGCGGAGAGGACAGATCCCTGGGGGACACCGGCATTAATACCAAGCAGATCCGACGATGTGCCATTAATGACCACTCGTATCGATCTGCCCCCCAGAAAATCCGCAATCCAGTTGCAAAGTCCGACAGCGATTCCATATGATGGAAGCTTGCCAATGAGACTTGCATGCCAGACCCTGTCAAAAGCCTTAGAAATATCAAGAGAAACGGCGAGAGCTTCGCCGCGTTTCTCTATGGCTTCACTCCATAAGTGGGTAGCATACACAAGAAGATCCCCAGTAGATCGCCCACGGCGGAAACCGAATTGGCAGTCACTGAGGAGATCGTTATCTTCGAGGTAAGCGAGGAGACGGTTGTTCAATACACGCTCCATAATCTTACAGAGTATGGAGGTGATTGCAATAGGTCGATAGTTGGCAGGGTCGGCACGACTACCCTTTTTGGGCACTGGTTGGACATTGGCAAGCTTCCAGGTTTTCGGAACTTGGCCAATCTCAAGGGATAAGCGATATAGGCGAGTCAGAATAGGAGACAACTCAGGGGCACAATTCCGCAGGACAATAGCTGGAATGCCATCCGGCCCACTGGCTTTATTCACGTCTAGAGTGCTTAGCGCTTTGAGTACCTCTTTCTGATGGATGCGAACTTCCAACATGGTAGAAGAACACTGAGGAAGCTTAGGTGGGTTTACGCCAGCAGCATCTAGCTGTGAGTTGTTCGCAAATATAGAGGCAAACAAGTCAGCCTTCTCTTTGGAGGTGTGAGCCAGCGATCCGTCAGGCTTAATTAAAGGCGGCAGCGACGACCGGCAAAAATTGGCTTCGACTGTTTTGGCTAGGGACCAGAAAGCTTTGCTTCCGGATGGAAAGGAGGCTAATTTGGCTCCTATACGGCCAATGTGATCGAAGCGGGCCTTGCGGATAACACCTTTACAGGACTTGGCGGCACTGTTAAAGGCCTTCTTCAGACTTCGAACATTTGGTGATTTGCGGGCTCGAGCATCCGCCCAGGAGCGATACGCAAAATGCTTAAGCGCCTCTGCTTTAGCACAGTCCGCGTCAAACCAAGGGCGGGCGCTAAACCGGCGCGGTACGTCAGAGTATGGAATAAAGTACTCCATAGCCTGACGCATCACGTCAGCAATGGCATCCGCGCACCAAGTCGGGTCGTCCGAAGAAAAGCAAGTGCGACGCCAAGGATAAGATGCAAAGAAATGCCGCATCTCATCCCAGTCTGCTGAACCATATCGCCAAACACGCCTAGTTCCGATAGGTTTAAAGAAATTAATGTAAATGTATATAGTGATTACTTATTTTGACAGTTGCTGTCACCATTGACACATAGAGGCTAAAGAGCTTTACAAGCCATAAATTCAAACCAATTTCGGTCTAAATCTAAATTCCCTATTGTATTAAAAATTAGGGAAGCATTGTTGAGATGCCACCTAAAAGGAACAAACGTAGCCCTAGCCTGGATCCCTGGGCATAATGGTATTCCTGGCAACGAAACTGCGGATACTTGTGCTAAACACGCCATTTCCTGTGGTCTCCCGAAATAGTCCAGAGTCTTCTACCAGGACTTATATTCCGTAACGCGCGAGCTTTTATTTAAATCATGGGAAACTCACTGGCTACAGACTAAGAATCGTGTTGGTAAATACTACTTCGATATACGGATGATTCTCAGTTAAGAGGTAATCGGTTATATGGAAGCAGTGGCACAGGAAAAAGTGTCGATATTTACATAACTATGCCACTACTTTTATCAAGACAGATGATTTTAAGATGATCAGTCATTTTTTTAATTTATTCTCGTTTTACGAGGCACCAGGGGAGATACTGAGTACAGGGTAGAGACAAGATGAACTTTATTGCAATGCGCTTAGAGCGCATATTAGGATGTAAAGTACTTATCTGAGCAATCAGATTTTAGTGGAATAACGATATAAAGCTAAACAATTATCTAAAATTATATGCAATTGTACATTCTCTGATAACTTATCATTACTGTTATTGAGCTATTGCATCGTTTTTATAGTTTTGTTAGTAGCCTGGCACCATAACAGCCAGGGAAAATATGGCAGGGGAGATACATTTTCGTTAAAAATCTAAAATTGCCGTAAAACTACTAATTTTACAAAGATTACAAATAAATAAAAGGTTTGCAGCACTATTTAAAATAAATGTGTATAGATATTGGTGTCAATTCTGGCAGGATTCTCTAAACTTAAAACTAAATTTAACATCAGTCTGTCCTTTTCATTCTGTATAGAGATTGACAAAGATACACTGTTGTCAAATTTAAGTTTAGCTTTAGAGAATCATGCCAGAATCGACATCATTGTGTAGTATTTAAACACATAAATACGAAAAAAAATTTACCAGGGTAAACACTTCGATCACTCAACACGGCTGCGCTCATCGAGCAGTGTTGCGAAAATGGCCAAAAAAATTGCCGCGCGGATGGCTTGTGCAGCGCTTGCTGCTAACTTCACGTGACACTCGGTGTCTTCAAGGTAAAAACTACCACAGACTATGGTAAACAAATACCATTTTCAAACTAAACCTAAGGCCAGGGGGCGAGACACGAAATTCGGAGGACACAGTTTGCGATTAATATTTTTTATAAAAAGTGCAAATATAAATGAATTTAATGGTTACATACTGTAACTAAGTTATCAGGGTTCATGTTATTACCGATAGAAAAGTAATAATTAAATTTCAATGGACTCAAAATTACTGATTTATAAAAAAAAACGGTTAGGGGACAAACCAGGGGAGATATGATTTCCTCTTTGTGCTGTTATTGTAAGTAAATTATGCACATTTAGAATATAATTTTAAGTGACAATTTAGAACACATTTAGTTAATTGAAATTATTAAGATTTTAGACCATAATTTCCAAATATAATGATTTTTTTGGCTTAGCCGTCGAACATACCTCTTAACTGAGAATCACCCATACAGCAAAATATTCCATCCAAACCATGGTTTTTCAAGGTGAAAAATCTTAATAAAAAAGTGGTCTCTACAATTTGTAGATTAAGGATAGGTCATGCCACTACCCCTGTACACTTGGCTAGGTTAAAAATACGTGACAGCCCCACATGTGATTGTGGAACCGAGGATGGTACAGTGGATCATCTTTTCTTTAACTGCCCCAAATTAAACATCTCTCTCTATGACATTTCACATCCCACTATTCCACGTCCTATTTACACGATTACTCAACCCTCAAGCTCTTGGCCAAATTTATTTCCCATAACAAACTAAGATTATAACAAAGCTCCTCGCTTTACTTGTTTTATGTTTGTGTTGTCCTGATTGTGACGTTTTTCTTTACAGGTAAAAGTGCTTATAAAATAGGTAACCAAAATTCTGATTTTTAACCGTATTTCCCTTAAGTGTAATGGCTAATCACTTGACATTGGCGGAGCTGTGCTAAGTCACAACGCAAGCCATCAAAAGAAGAAGAAGAAAAGATGCAATCAGCTTTATGCATGAGAGTGAAAGAGACAAATTTAGTGCACTCTATTGGCGGCTGTTGCAAAGGGAAATTGGGGCGGGGACTACTTTTGCCATTTTAAAACGCAATAATGTTGGCTTATACGCCAACCTACCTGTCTATATATTATACGTCATCACACTAATATTATAAAGGCGAAAGTTTGTGAGTGTGTATGTTTGTTACTTATTCACGTCTAAACGGCTGGAGCAATTTTAATAAAATTTGGTATGGAGTTAGCTGACACCCTGGATTAACGCATAGGTTACGTTTTACTGCGGGAAAATATCCCTAATAATCCGCGGGTAATACAGCTAGTTGGTTATAAAGGAGAACTCACCAGATTCCTCTTCAGACCCCTTGTTTTTAGAGACATCAGCTTCCCTGTTAGTGAACAGTTTTCTACGAGATTTTGTCGGACGAGGCGGGCTTATGGATATAGGCATTGCTCTTCTAGGCGCCGTGTTAACGCGAGTCTCTGTAAGAACAAAAATATTTTTAGAAGGATAGAAAATTAAATTTATTTGAGACAAAACAACACTAAAAAAATAAAAATATATAAACAAATCTAAAGAAAAGTTTACTAGAAAAAAATCCACGCAGACCAGGCAGCGGACGGGACTCGAACCCGCATCCTTCGCTATCCGGGCGAATGCACTGACCATTATGCTACCACGGCCCTATTAGCCGCGTCGAAATTTTCCTAGCCTTAAGCTGCAAGGCAGCGCCATCTCTTCGCATTGTAGGTAACCCACAATGTCAAATGAATACTTTTTCAAGTATTAAACATTTGAAAGAAGAAATAGCAATTATAGTTATGATTTTATTTATTTTTTAAGCATTTAACTGCTAGATGTTTAAATCTAAAGAAAAGTTTACTAGAAAAAAAATCCACGCGGACCAGGCAGCGGACGGGACTCGAACCCGCATCCTTAGCTATCCGGGCGAATGCACTGACCATTATAATATTAATAGGGCCGTGGTAGCATAATGGTCAGTGCATTCGCCCGGATAGCGAAGGATGCGGGTTCGAGTCCCGTCCGCTGGCTGGTCCGCGTCGATTCTTTTTCTAGTAAACTTTTCTTTAGATTTAAACATCTAGCAGTTAAATGCTTAAAAAATAAATAAAATCATATATAAACAAAACATACACGTAATTTTTTGTCTCAAATCGGTCCCAACTCAGCATGTGCTGACGTTGTCATCAGCGCTGGTCTTCCGTTGGAACCGGTTTAGTGACGACACGAAACAATAACATGAACAAGTAATAAAATAAACATAACAAAATAAAAGCAAAAATAACAACAAAGCAACAACAATGTGAGTTCCGAGGGGCGCCACCGTCTATGCAAATGACATCTTTAACAAGATTGGTTGGTGGATTTAGATACCTAAATATATTTTTAGATATTTAGCCCGATATATGTGTCCGGGTATAATTAAAAACCGGAACTCTTAGCAAAAACCATTATCGAATTCATATTAATAATAAATAAATAAATATTTCCAACGCTCACACCAATTAGCCTAAATATTATATAGTTGAATTCGATCTCGATATGCCAAGTCTGCCAAGGAGGAGCTCGACGGCGCAGGTGGTTAGCGCATTCTGCGATCGTTGAAGTTAAGCAACTTTCGCAGTGGTCGGTCATTGGATGGGTGCCCAAAAATCTTCTATCTCGAGTTCCTCCGTGCTTCGGAAGGCACGTTAAGCCGTTGGTCCCGGCTGCATCTGCAGTCGTTAACACCCGCCAATCCGCACTGGGCCCGCGTGGTGGGTCATGGCCCAATCTCCCTATTCCATCCATAGGAAAGGCCTGTGCCCCAACAGTGGGGACATTAATAGGCTGATGATGATGATGATGATGCCAAGTCTTAAAAAGTTTTCTAAGTTTTAATTCTCGTTACGTCCGTTGTGGCGCTATTCTAATTTCAATTAGCCAAATCGATATTGGTTAGTGCCACGGGTACTGAACCAAACCATAGGATACCTGTCATCCCAGATAACAGTTTATGTTCCAGTAAGATTCCCAAAAAACAAACTAAACTAGGAAAGAAGCTAGTCCAATATAATTACCCGTCTTGTTGTGAGTGGTATCGCGCGACTTATCAGTCGACTTGTCTCTCGACGTGTCAATCGTCTTGTCGTGCGACGTATCAGTCGACTTGTCTCGCGACTGGTCCGTCGTGATGTCCGTGGACGTATCGCCTTCGGTCTCGCTGGAGAGACGAAGGCGAGCAGTCTTGCCTTCCTTGTCTTTGTCGGGCAAGAGATCTAGTAATGGTATGTTTTCCATTTCCGCCTTTTTCTGAAATTTAACAACAGCTTATTATTAAACTAGCGATCTACCCTGCTTCTCATGGGAGCAATATCAATACTTGTAATGGTATCTAAAATATATTTTATAAAATAAAATAATAAATAAATAATTATTTCCAAAACTCACACCAATTAGTCTAGCCCCAAAGTAAGCACTGTAAGGCTTGTGTTATGGGATACTAGGGTAGTGGAGAGAATACATATACAGTACATATATATGTATATTTATATAGAAATATAGTGGAGCCCCGGTAATCCGGCCCCTGGCTAATGCGGCACCCCCTATAATCCGACATCGTCTATTACATAAAAGTATTCGCTAATTCACGATTGAACAAGTTACAACTTGTTCAAACCTTCACTGTTTATTAATATTACTTTTATAATAAAACGGAATCTTTCTATTGTGTTGTTTAATTTACTAAATTTGACATACATCACGAAGTATGATTTGTAATCTTATCATTGGATCTGTAATTTGTCGGATTACAAGGTACTCTTATGTGAAAAAAATCGGACTATGGGGGTCTTAGGCAGTACTCTATAATCCGACAAATTCAATAGTTCGACACTGCCCCGCAAAATGTTTGTCGGACTACCGGGGATCCACTGTACATATTTTAAACATCCATGACTGGAGTACAAACGCTCGTATTCATCACACAAACATCTGCCCCCCACCGGGATTCTAACCCGGGACCTGTCGAGTCGGCGACACTACGAAACCCGGCGTACAAACCACTTTACCACGGAGGTCGTATTAAGAACTTAGATAATAACCAAGAAAGAATAGCCCATTTTGGTGTAGGGATATTTGAACCGCTGTGAAGTTAGCCCCCCACTTTTTGAATTTTATTATTATCTAGGTTGTTCTGGGTTGTTCTATGTTTGTTCTACATTGTTCCAAAGTATTATTTGAAAAAACTAAAATTTGAAGCTGCCAGACAAGAAAAACCGTTTTTCTATAGTAGCCCCCCATGTTTGGAAATTCAATATTTTTTTAGTTGTTCCAAGTTGTTCTAGTTGTTCCGAACATTGTTCCAAAGTATTATTTGAAAATATTCAAATTTGAAGCTGCCAGACAAAAAAAACGTTTTTATGGTAGCCCCCCATGTTTGGAAATTCAATATTTTTTTAGTTGTTCCAAGTTGTTCTAGTTGTTCCTAACATTGTTCCAAAGTATTATTTGAAAATATTCAAATTTGAAGCTGCCAGACAAGAAAAACGTTTTTATGGTAGCCCCCCATGTTTGGAAATTCAATATTTTTTTAGTTGTTCCAAGTTGTTCTAGTTGTTCCGAACATTGTTCCAAAGTATTATTTGAAAATATTCAAATTTGAAGCTGCCAGACAAAAAAAAACGTTTTTATGGTAGCCCCCCATGTTTTGAAATTCAATACTTTTTTAGTTGTTCCAAGTCGTTCTAGTTGTTCCTAACATTGTTCCAAAGTATTATTTGAAAAAACTCAAATTTGAAGCTGTCAGGCAAAAAAAACCGTTTTTGAGATAGCCCCCCATGTTTGGAAATTCGTTATTTTTAAAGTTTTTCCAAGTTGTTCTAGTTGTTCCTAACATTGTTCCAAAGTATTATTTGAAAAAACTCAAATTTGAAGCTGTCAGACAAAAAAAAACCGTTTTTCAGATAGCCCGCCAAGTCAAATCGTACTAGAGACAATAAATAAATCAACAATAATTTTAAACAATGACGATTGTATCAGTGCAACCGTGGGCTATATCGTTCCAATTTCATTTAATCATTTTGAATAAAGTTAATAGTTATGAGACAAGAAAACATTACACTATAGGGTAAACTCCCTAATTGTTGGCACTTTAAGAGTAGGTTCCATGTCAGTCAGACATTAAATTACCATAAAATCACATCTAAATGAGTTAGTACACAACACATATTACACATGTAACAGTATCAAAGAAAGTAGTTTAATCTTTGTTTTCATAATGGTATAGTCAATGAAGGCAAAAATCAGCTATAACCTCCGATTTCGATGAACCTCCATCGATTTTCATGAAAAATGGTGATGAGGTGGGGGATACCATATGAAACAAAAGTGACATAGTGCCAACTTGCGCTTTTTCCCTAGGGGTAGATACCACTCCTTCTCGGGGGTAAAAATTATTTTAATAAAAATAACTCCAGGAATCGATAGAAAGACAAACTCTAAGCAAAAGTTGTTATATTAAGTTTTCGAAATAAATCAATACTTTCTGAGTTAATAATGATCAAAGATTGTGATTTTGCGTCAAAAAAAATCATGTTTTAAGCGGTTTTTCATAAATATTTCAAAAGCTATGAGTTTAAAAAAAATATATTATTACTAGACGCAACGAATATTCGGTTACTATTCGGTATTCGGCCTATTCGGCTGCTTTTATTATATTCGGCCGAATACCGAATACTTAAATAATATATTTTGTCATAGAGAAATAATTGGTAAAATGAAAATTAATATCGATTGATTACGTAGTAGTCCAGTCAGTATTGTCGCGAAATCCGTTTTTCCTCAAACAGCTGGAACTATGCTAAAAAGTTTCTTAAGATAGTAAAGAACACTTTACATAGAGAAAAAAATGTTTCCAACCCCGGGCAAGGGTGAAAACCACCCTTAATAATCTATTTTTCCAATTATCTCAAAAAGTATACGAGATACGGAAAAAAACTTCAAATGAAAATTGTAGATCTTTTTGAAATCTACAAAACATTATTCCACCCTCTTGCCCCTATTTTCAATAGGGGAGCCAATAATCGAAGTCAAAGATAACTTTTTTAACTAACTTTAACTTTTTAAGTATTGAATCTTTGACTTCGATTATTGGCTCCCCTATTGAAAATAGGGGCAAGAGGGTGGAATAATGTTTTGTAGATTTCAAAAAGATCTACAATTTTCATTTGAAGTTTTTTTCCGTATCTCGTATACTTTTTGAGATAATTGGAAAAATAGATTATTAAGGGTGGTTTTCACCCTTGCCCGGGGTTGGAAACATTTTTTTCTCTATGTAAAGTGTTCTTTACTATCTTAAGAAACTTTTTAGCATAGTTCCAGCTGTTTGAGGAAAAACGGATTTCGCGACAATACTGACTGGACTATAGGTATATATTCATATTTTCATTTCTGTTATATATAATCATTAAAGTAGCCATTAATACATAATCATCTTCTGAATTGGAAAAATGGAGGATTCTATGTATTTGAATTATTGTGGTAATCAAAATTTAAAAGGGTAAGGTTCTCATTTCTTTTATAATCATTTATTAAGTAGTCATTGGTACATAAAACAGGAACATATTTTAATCATTTTCTGTATTATCAAGTTAAGAATTTTTCTATGCGTTTGAATTATTTTCATAATCAAAATTTAGAAGGGGAAGGTTATGGTGCAGAAAGACTAAATTTTCTGCATTTTTAGGAAGTAGTAGAAATTCTTTTTTTCTCGTACACCATCCCAGCTTCAGAGTAAAGGCGCTCTGAATAAACACTACTTCCTGGCGCCGACAAATATTTTGCTGCAATCTTAATCAAACATGGAAATTCAATTTTCCTTGCTGCCACCATGTATATGGGTTGTCATGACGTGATATATTACTAATATTTAAGAAAAGATCCATTTCTGTTGAAACTGCGTTTGACTGAATTGCACTGCACACAAAGGGGCGCGAAACAATCACGTTTGTACAAGTTTTTGGCGCTAAAATCCAGCCGAATACTTTTGCCTAATATTCAGCTACTCGGTCAGGGGCCTCGCCGAATATTCGGTATACTGCCGAATATACTATTCGTTGCAAGTCTAATTATTACCAAAATTGAAGCTAATAAAATAAACAAACACCTTCTTTGAAAAACCTTCTTATATGAATTCAAAGTGAGCTATAGGCAATTGTATGTATATATTTTTTCGACGAGTACTTAAATCTAAGTTTCCAACCCTAAATAACGGGAAACCGATGCATTTTGATGAATGGTTGGAATGAAGGGTTTATTTTTCGTTTTTCCTAAAAAAATAAGTGTTATCTTATTTTTATCATAACTTTTCCAATTTTGAAGCTATTAACTTTTTACAGTGCTCATTATAAAGGTATTTCTGAGGAATTTAAAAAGTGCTCCGGAAGTGTATGTCATAAATTCATCGGTTTCCCGTTATTTAGGTTTGAATACTTAGATTTAAGTACTTGCCGAAAAAAAATATGTACATACAATTACCTATAGCTCACTTTGAATTGAAATTAGAAGGTTTTTGTAGGCAAAGTAGGCGTTTGTTTGTTTTTATATTAGCTTCAATTTTGATACTAATATTTTTTTGTAAAGCTCATAGTTTTTGAGTTATTTATGAAAAACCGCTTAAACATGTATTTTTATCACGCAAAATCACAATATTTTATCTTTAATAACTCAGAAAGTATTGATTTATTCCGAATACTTAATATAACAAATTTTACTTAGAATTTGTCTTTCTATCGATTCCTGGAGTTATTTTTATTAAAATAATTTTCACCCCCGAGAAGGGATGGTATCTACCCTCAGGGCAAAAGCGCAAGTTGGCACTATGTCACTTTTGTTTCTTATGGTATCCCCCACCTACTTAAAAATTTTCATGAAAATCGATGGAGGTTCAATGAAATCGGAGGTTGCAGCTGATTTTTGCCTTTGTTGACTATACCATTATGAAAACAAAGATTAAACTACTTTCTTTGATACTGTTACATGTGTAATATGTGTTGTGTACTAACTCATTTAGATGTGATTTTATGGTAATTTAATGTCTGACTGACATGGAACCTACTCTTAAAGTGCCAACAATTAGGGAGTTTACCCTATAGTGTAATGTTTTCTTGTCTCATAACTATTAACTTTATTCAAAATGATTAAATGAAATTGGAACGATATAGCCCACGGTTGTACTGATACAATCGTCATTGTTTAAAATTATTGTTGATTTATTTATTGTCTCTAGTACGATTTGACTTGGCGGGCTATCTGAAAAACGGTTTTTTTTGTCTGACAGCTTCAAATTTGAGTTTTTTCAAATAATACTTTGGAACAATGTTAGGAACAACTAGAACAACTTGGAAAAACTTTAAAAATAACGAATTTCCAAACATGGGGGGCTATCTCAAAAACGGTTTTTTTTGCCTGACAGCTTCAAATTTGAGTTTTTTCAAATAATACTTTGGAACAATGTTAGGAACAACTAGAACGACTTGGAACAACTAAAAAAGTATTGAATTTCAAAACATGGGGGGCTACCATAAAAACGTTTTTTTTTGTCTGGCAGCTTCAAATTTGAATATTATCAAATAATACTTTGGAACAATGTTCGGAACAACTAGAACAACTTGGAACAACTAAAAAAATATTGAATTTCCAAACATGGGGGGCTACCATAAAAACGTTTTTCTTGTCTGGCAGCTTCAAATTTGAATATTTTCAAATAATACTTTGGAACAATGTTCGGAACAACTAGAACAACTTGGAACAACTAAAAAAATATTGAATTTCCAAACATGGGGGGCTACCATAAAAACGTTTTTTTTGTCTGGCAGCTTCAAATTTGAATATTTTCAAATAATACTTTGGAACAATGTTCGGAACAACTAGAACAACTTGGAACAACTAAAAATATATTGAATTTCCAAACATGGGGGGCTACCATAGAAAAACGGTTTTTCTTGTCTGGCAGCTTCAAATTTTAGTTTTTTCAAATAATACTTTGGAACAATGTAGAACAAACATAGAACAACCCAGAACAACCTAGATAATAATAAAATTCAAAAAGTGGGGGGGCTAACTTCACAGAGGTGATATTTGAGTCGTATAGTATCAAAGGCGGCAAAGTAGGGCGAACCAAATATTTGGCAAATCAAAAAAAAACTGTTTAGTCTCGTCTTTAAGAGAGGATTTTTATAATTGACATTCATCTACAAATCTTAGTGAAATGTCAATTATAAAAATCCTCCCTTAAAGACGAGACTAAACAGTTTTTTTTTTGATTTGCCAAATATTTGGTTCGCCCTACTTTGCCGCCTTTGATACTATACGACTCATTTATTATAGGGATATATTTCCCTCTATTATATAAAGGAATCTTATCTTTCGGACACATCTATCGGCCCAACTAGCATTCAAAGGTTAAATTGAGCAAAAACTTTTTTTGCAGATTTTAAGCTGACTAAATGCCATCTTTTACTTATGATTTACCATCTTTTTCGTGTGTTTTCAAAAATATATCATTTTATTATTCAAATAAAAATATACTAATGCTACAGACCATTGAAACTTATAACACTAAGTGGGCCGATAGATGTGTTTTTTATGAGTCTCCGATATTTTGGCACTGCTGCAAGCGCCATGATCACGGAGTTACTTTATAAAAAACAAAGTACTATCGTGGAATTTTGCGCTCTGTCACTTGGCGAACAAAATGCATTGAACGGTTTTCTACAGTAGTTTTTACTACGCCCCGCCTTCGCGTCGGACGCGCCATTCCGGGCCGCCGCACAAAAGTAAGACAGAGAGCATTTCATTGTTCGAATAATGAATTGAATTGCATATGTTTAAGTTGCAATTTGTCATCCGCATCGTGATCGCGACAGCGCTATACGAAAAAGTAAGACAGCGATAATAGGGATGATGACTAATTTTTTTTTCTTCGTTTATCAGGTAGATTATCAAAAAGTATTGGACACGTATTTTTTCTTTTTTCACATAATATAAACATTGCAGAGATATATTGATTTGAAAAGTCGCATGACGTCACGTTTGAGTACACTTATAAGTGAAAATTCACTCAAAAGTGACGTCACGAGCCCCTACTCCCAAACTTTGACGCGCTATAATTTTGTCATTTTTTGGTGATTGCCCAAAGAAAAAAATACGTGTCCATTATTTTTTGATCATCTAACTGACGGACTAAATAGAATTTCGTTTACTGTACCCCGTCATCATCCCTATTACATGTCTATGAATGAATTTTTACTACGCCGCTACCGCAAGCGATTATGGCATTATGGGTGACAGAGCGGGTCTTTCCGCGAGTGTACATGGTAACAATGCCGTTAAAAGCTGTAATAACTTACCAGTAGCTGTCTCAGCGTCCTAGGCGATGGAAGGTCCGAAGGTCTGGCAGCCGCTGGGAAGGTTTGTTCCGGCAACCTCGTCCGAGCTGACGCACACGCTTCCACCCATAGAGGTGACACTATACGCGACGCTAGCGCGCGTGCGCGGGCGCGGGTCGAGCGACAACCGCCTTTGTGGCCATACGAATAAAGAACAAATTAGCCTAGCTACTGTAAGGCTTGACTTATGGGAAGTTTTGTTAAAGGAACTTAGCCCTAGTTGTTACACACGTTTCCACTCATAGAGCAGACACTATACGCGACGGTAGAACGCGTGCGCGGGTCGAGCGACAACCGCCTTTGTGGCCATACGAATAAAGAACAAATTAGCCTAGCTACTGTAAGGCTTGAGTTATGGAAAGCTTTGTTTAAGCAACTTAGCCCTAGTTGTTACACACGCTTCCACCCATAGAGACACTATACGCGACGCTAGCGCGCGGGCGCGGGTCGAGCGACAACCGCCTTTATGGCCATACGAATAAAGAACAAATTAGCCTAGCTACTGTAAGGCTTGACTTATGGGAAGCTTTGTTTAAGAAACTTAGCCCTAGTTGGTACACACGCTTTCACTCATAGAGGACACTATACGCGACGCTAGAGCACGTGCGCGGGCGCGGGTCGAGCGACAACCGCCTTTGTGGCCATACGAATATAATAATAATAAATAATAATAAAATTTTATTTTAACAATTAGTACAAAAATAATAACTTAAAAGTACAATTTTAGCTTAGGTATAACAAAACATGCGCCTGAACTAAGAAAATCCTGTGTTTCAGGCGGAAACGGGCGATTAATTTCCATTAAAATAACATGTGTATTTATTTATGGTAAATTACAGTAAATTTGGTAAAACATTACACATATAATTAACTTAAAACTAATCTAAAATGATGCAATATACTAGATTCAAGAATAATAATATCAAGAGAAACGAACACTTCTCACAACTATATCCTTATGCTACTTAACTACAACTAATAACTTCTCTGTATCTTCATAGGACATGCATAGTAAGGCTTCTTGTAGGCTTATTTTACAATTTTTGTAATTTAAGGGATATATGTTTTTTATTGCATTTAGTCTATTGTAGAGCAGTGGTCCTAGGAAAGTGAAAAATCTGGATGCAAAAGCTGATTTTGTTCTTCCATATTTCTGGGGGCAAACCAGATCCTTGCGTCTTATACCAGAAATAAGTTCAACATAGTATGGTACAGCTACGTGCTGTTTTAGTACGATGTTCATTATAAACAGTTGCCGAACTGTTAATACCTTATGAATTTTATAAAGTTCATATGTGGGATAAAAGAAAGGTAGGGAAGATGAAACCTTAAGGATTGCTCTTTGGGCTCTCTCAAGAGTTAGCAGCAATGTCTTACCCACTCCACCCCATGACGTGATACAATATTTTAGTATTGATTGACATAAAGCATAGTATACCTGTTTAATTATTTTACAGTTTGCAATATTGCGCAGTTTTTTAAAGATCATTATCAGCTTACGAATTCTGTTAGTTACTGCAGTAATGTGGTGTTTGTAAGACAGGGTTTCATCTAAAATTATTCCGAGATATTTTAATTTGTCTGTAATTTTAATGGCAGGACATTCACAATTATTATTAAAAGGCTCTGAACTGCAATGATGGGCATATAAAACTGTATTATAGTAGTTTGCTTTTGATTTACGCATCGAAAATTTAATAAAATTTGTCTTGTCTGCATTTAATGTTAGTAAATTGTGTTGAAGCCAATTATTGACAATATTAAAACCACGTTGCGCATGCATGTGTACCTGACTTTCTGACTCGGCTGAAAAAAGGAGAGCAGTGTCGTCAGCGTATGATATAATAGTACCGTTGCTAATTTTAATGTTGCAGAGATCATTTATGTAAATTAAAAACAGAGTAGGGCCTAATATTGATCCTTGTGGAATTCCAAAGGGTGTACAATTTAGATCGGCACTTACGATATTACCTATTTTGACGCATTGGGAGCGGTCTTCTAAATAACTTGTAAAAAGTTTGAGCTGCGTGCCTCTTATTCCGATGTTTTCAAGTTTGCGCAGAAGGAACGGGACAGATACAGAATCAAATGCCTTGGCAAGATCAAGGAAAATGCCGATGGTGTAATTACCTTTATCTAATTCTTGAGCTATGTAGTTAGTTAGTTCATGTACAGCATCCGCCGTTGAAACTTTAGATCTAAAACCAAACTGATTTTTCGATAATATCGATTTATATTCTAAGTATTTTACCAATCTAACATTTATAATTTTTGACGTGACAACGTCTTAAATTAGGTTGCGGCTGGGAGTCACTTATGAAAAAGTGTAACGCTCGGTAACGTTACGATGAGTCTCTCGTGTTAAGTTTAAGTTTACATGTACAATGTTTTAGTAAACAAAATATATTTCTATAGTTAAAATTTGTGCAATTCTTATTTTCATTCAATTCCTTGTTCCTATTGTGCAATTTAATTATATTCATATCAATAAATATTCTACCGAGAAAAAGACGTTGTCACGTAAAATCTTCGCCCGTAAAACCGACTTTACAGGCAACCATTTTTTTTCTAGTATTTTTGATAATGACGTCAGTACGGATATTGGTCTATAATTAGTTACTTGAGTTTTATTTCCAGATTTAAAGACTGGAGTAACGATTGCTTTTTTCAAGCATTTGGGGAAATACCCAGTACAAAGACATTTCTGGAAAACGTATGTGAGAGGTGGAGTTAATATATAACTAAAATTTTTAATGATTTTGGTAGGGATATTATCCCACCCAACAGCGCAATTCTCTTTTAAGTTCATTATTATCTTTCCTACTTCTGATTCATCTGTATCAAACAACACAAAAGACGTTTGCGTGGTACTAGACTTAAATAAAGGGCTAGTTTGACACTGTGATGTGGTTTGGACTTTTTCGGCTAAACATTTACCGACATTAACAAAAAAATCGTTGACATTATTAGCTGACAATAATTGTGACGAGTGTGTGTGTAATAAACTTGAAGAGGACTCATTTTGCTTTGGGGCATATGTTATATTTTTAATGTGTCTCCATATCTGTTTACTGTTTGTGCCTGCTGATTGGAGAGTTGATTCGTCATAATTTGACTTTACTTTTTTCAGTAAATTATTGCAAAAATTACGATATCTTTTATAAGTTAATTGCAGTGTATCATTACATGGATTGCTTTTCGCCTTCATATGCAGTTTATCTCTGTGCCTCAAACAGCGAATGAGGCCTGGCGTGATCCATGGTTTAATATTATAGTTTTTGCTATTAATTCGAATTGTCTTCGTATTTTTCTGTATGATAGATTGTAAATTATCAATTATATATTGCATACAAAACTCTGGGTCAGCAGAATTGAAAACTGGGTTAAAATCTATGTTATGTAAGTCGTCTTCGAGTTTATTTATATTTAATTTTGTAATAGTGCGATCGTCAGCTGTTTTAAGTAATTTACAATTTAAGGTAAGTAGGACAGCATTGTGGTCTGTTATTGATGAATTGGTAACAAGGGCAAGTGATTGAAAATTTGATTTTATTAAAACATGATCGAGGCATGAACCACTTTGATGTGTAGGGAGGACGTGTGCGGGGAGCATGCCATGATAGGAGCAAAGGTTTAGGTAGTCCTGCGCCGCTGCGTCAGCACCTTCTGGGAGAATATCGATGTTAATATCTCCAATCAAAATAACGGTTTTAAAAGAGGATAGGTCTCGCAATACTGTATTCAAAGATTCTATAAATTTTTTAGTATTTTTAAATGATGGTGGTCTATATAATGCTAAAATAGCAAATTCTGAGCTAATTTTAACTAACAATCTACTGCATTCGTGCATGTTTGGTTCCTCAACAGACACATCTAAGTGAGACCTTGCATAAACTATTACTCCGTCATTTTGATTGTGGATAATATTACTTTTGAATATGCTGTACCCCGGGAGTTGTGGTAGGTTGTATTTGTTAGTTAGCCAACATTCTGTTAAAATTATAACATCAGAGGTTATATCCAGTCTGTGATGGAAAGTACTAAAATCATCGAAATTCTTAAATATGCTACGTATATTTTGCGTTAGTAAAGTTAGGGGATTACTATAATTAGAGGATGACAAGTACTGCTTACAATCTTCTACCTCACAAATCTTAGACTTAGATAAAGAGAAGTTATCAATATCACTTATCAAAGTATTAATCATATTATGAGAAAAATATTATAATTTGTATAAAAAATATAAAAATAGAAATGAAAGAAATAAAAAAAAAAAAATAGGTCTGGAAAATTACAGTTAAGAGGCGCTCTTAGGCGCCTTCATAATCGATTGAATTAATGTACCTTTTCTCAGCCATTATTTTTGCCGGACAGGTAGAGGCACCCGTGCTGTGGTCAGCTGGTTTTTTGAAATGTAAGCAGGTTGCGCATTTTGCTTCGTTTTTATTGTTCGGGCAATCCTTTATAGAGTGGTCCTTGTCACCACAATGTCCGCAGGTGTAAGAGGGCTCTCGGCAGGTTTTCGCGGCATGTCCATACTGCTGACATTTGTAACATCTCGTAACCAGAGTGAAGTCCCTCACTGGGCAAGATGACCAATTAACAAATGCTCTCTCTTTAGCTATTAGGGCTTTTCGTATGGCAGCAGTAACTTCAATGATGTAGTTGCAGGTCTCAGCATCTTTTTTGCCTGATTTATGGCTAAGCCTTATCGAATTTAAAAATAATTCCAGTGTAGAGCCCTGTAGTTTTTCAGCGAGATTCTGGTTGTATAGGCATTTAAAAACCTCTTTTTCATTCATCGATGAGGGCACGCCGATGACTATCACTCTCGGTTTACGTCTGCTTGGCTCATCGACTGTAAAGCCTGAATTTGTCAGCTGAGTCGATTGCTTCAGCTTCTCGATGTCGTCCTTGGTATCGGTGCTGATAATTACGCCTCCGTTCTTTGTCTTGCGAAGGCCTCTGACATGTAAGTTTATTTTTTCAGGGCAGATAATTTTTTGGACCATGGATTTTGTTTCTTCACTAGATTTATGTTTATCAGAAGGATAAATCACTACCGAGTTGATGTTCTGGGGCTTAATATAGTCATTTGTGCCTTTTTTAACCATGTCCGCGAATGAGGCGGTACATTGTGCAGGTATTTTTGTTTCTTCTACCGCCTCCTTGAGTTCAAGAAGCTGTTGGCATACATCAGATTGTTTTTCAAGCGCTTGGTTTGACGCTTGAGCTAGGAAGGCTCGTAATTTGATGGACTGGTATTGCACTACCAACTGCGAAGTGCCGTGTCCAACTTTTCTGCATAAGGTGCTGATACGCAATTTTTGCTCTGAGTTGAGCTTGCCATCAGCAGCGACAGAGCAAATTTCATTCAGGCATTGCTCAATATTGATTAACCAGCTCTGGAGCTCCTGAGTTGACGCAACTTCCTGGGGCACAGATGCCGGCGCAGGTGGCGTTGGCGTTGGAGGCGGGGTACGAACGGTCCTATCACTTCGATTAAATGGGCTGTTCTCCATGATTTAGTTTTAAGTAAAACAAAACTAAATTATTTTCACTATAACCACACACATGTTAAAACAATGTCCCAGTTTATGCAACTATCGGTATTTGTAAAACAAGGTCACGGATTGCAAGTATTAATTAATTAATATATTTATTGTTGTGGAGACACGTCTGCACTCTGCAAAAGAGCACGAATAAAGAACAAATTAGCCTAGCTACTGTAAGGCTTGAGTTATGGGAAGCTTTGTTTAAGAAACTTAGCCCTAGTTGGTACACACGCTTTCACTCATAGAGGAGACACTATACGCGACGCTAGCGCGCGAGCGCGGGCGCGGGTCGAGCGACAACCGCCTTTGTGGCCATACGAATAAAGAACAAATTAGCCTAGCTACTGTAAGGCTTGACTTATGGGAAGTTTTGTTAAAGGAACTTAGCCCTAGTTGTTACACACGTTTCCACTCATAGAGGAGACACTATACGCGACGCTAGCGCGCGTGCGCGGGCGCGAGTCGAGCGACAACCGCCTTTGTGGCCATACGAATAAAGAACAAATTAGTCTAGCTACTGTAAGGCTGACTTATGGGAAGTTTTGTTTAAGCAACTTAGCCCTAGTTGTTACACACGTTTTCACTCATAGAGGAGACACTATACGCGACGGTAGAACGCGTGCGCGGGTCGAGCGACAACCGCCTTTGTGGCCATACGAATAAAGAACAAATTAGCCTAGCTACTGTAAGGCTTGACTTATGGGAAGCTTTGTTTAGTTTAATTCGTAATTGGCTTAGCCCCAAGTAAGTACTAAGGCATTTGTTATGGGATACTACGGTAACGGATACAGCCTTATGGCGATAGAAATAAACATGCAATTAACCTAGCACGAGCTAATGAGCAAGAATTCACTCATAGGGTTGTCACTTTTGGTCATCTCATTCTTTGATCTGCGAGCGTGGCATTTGAGTATGTCAATATAAGATTATGTATACTAGTGCTTTGAATGGCTTCGTGGCTTTTTAGCTAAGATTAAAATGTATTTTCAAAGAGTATACAGTCTATAGTAGCCTCGTTCGACATGAAGCACACGCTTCTTACCATAGGGTAGACACTATACGCAATGCAAACGTTCGTGGGCGGTCGCAAATCGGGCGACAACCGCCTTTATGACGATAGAAATAAAGAACAAATTAGCCACTCGCGAATAGCCTAGCCAGAGGCTTATGTTATGGGAAGGTATGTTCCAGAACTGATACACAAGCTTTCACCCATGGGCTGACACTATGCGCGAAGCTAACGAACGTGCGCGGGCGCGGGTCGAGCGACAAACGTCTTTATGACGATAGAAATAATCACGTCTTTAGCCTAGCCACTGTAAAGCTTGTGTCACGGGAAGGTTTGTTCAGGTTAACTCTTATGCTTTACCTTCAAAAATACCCTAATCAGGATTCGAACCCAGGACCCTTTGCACTGAAGGCGCTATCAGTACCGTTGCAAGCAAAGTCCCATCATTATTTTTTTATGAATGTTACATACAATCACTACCTATGATGTGGTTTCCTTGGTGCCATACATAGATTGCCATGAATTTTGGGATAAAGATAGAGGGAAGATCAGAAAGAGGTACAGCCTACTTTTTGTTGTGAAAATGAATGTTGAACAGGGCATGAAATATTGAATAGAGAATTCTCTAAAAAAAAATATTTTAATTTGGTTATGACTTATGATTAAGTAGACGAAACGCATAAATAAATACCTTGTGACCACACGACGTGTGTTACTATGGGAGTCCAAGCAGGCACTACGGTGGCTCCGAGAGCTGACAACGCCGCGCGGAGCGGCAACGCGCGCGGCTCCGACCCAACTTCCACCAGAGCCACCACCCCCATTAGGACTTCGCTCACATCTGACTTGTGGCACTGAAATATTATAAAGGTAAAATCGTTAGCAATATTTTTGTTTTCTCTGTGCATATATCTGCCATCAGTCTCCATGTAGACTATAATCGGGTTCGTTGGATTTGTAAGCACTCCCCATCAGAAGCAATCACTCATTTAAGAACCTGGACTCCAGCCTTTGGATATCACAATTTTTCAAGCATTTGCAGTAACTTATGTTAGTAACTAGGGAGCTGACTCATTTGGGTATTGCTTGATCCTAGCCAGGGTAGCAATAATGAAAAGAGGTTTAGGAGTTGTTTCGAATCCTTTTCAGGCTACATCGTCAGAATTAATTCAAGACGATGCGGCCTGAAAAATCCTTTATAGCGAAATGTCATAAATTTATAAATCACTGCATCTATACCGTTGAAACTTGTTTTATTTATGGTTTAGTCGACTAAAAAGTGGCTTAAAAGTTAAAATGTAATGTGATTAATGAAAACTAGTAATAGTCATTACTGGGGTGCAAATATTTGTGTACCTACGATTACTGGTACATACTTGAAATAGGGACGACAATGGAGTAAAGTAAATGAAATTCTATTCAGTCCTTCATTTAGAAAATCAAAAATTAATGGACACATATTTTTTTCTTTCGTCAATTATTCAAAAAATATGTGTCCATTATTTTTTGATAATCTAAATATCTTATAGATGCAAGAAAAAATTTGGTCATCATCAATAGTCAAAATAATTTTTAAAAATCCTTCATAATTAGGAGATGAATGGTGTATTAGCTTATGGTTTGGTATACAATTAAGACAATCAAATCAAGGTCATAGCAGACTAGTTCGATGATCAAAATTTGATATCTCAAGTTCTGCCGTGCTTCAGACAGCAAGTTTTGACATTGGTAGCATTAATTCATGCCAATCAGCATTGGGTGTGTTATAGTTTGTATGTAATAATGCATACCAGTTGATTCTTACATTCTTTCTAGAGCTGGCATTCAGATGTTATGCAATCATCATCAACATCATCATCATCAGCCTATTAATGTCATTACTGCTGGGGCCAAGGATGCCTATGGATGGAATAGGGAGATTGGGCCATAACCCACCACTCGGGCTCAGTGCAGATTGGCGGGTGCTTACGACTGCGGACCAACGGCTTATGGTGCCTTCCGAAGCACAGAGGAGCTCAAGATAGTAAATTTTGTTATGCAATATGTGATATATATTAATAGTAATTAGTCTGTGACTTCTGTCTAGATAGATATAGTAAATCTCACACCATTACTACATCACTCTACCATGAAACTATCGGTATAGATTAGGTCAATATTGTTGTCAGTAAACCATATTGACAAGTAGTTTATAACACAACAAACATTTATTTCCTGTTGGGGTAAGTTAAGTGCCGTCTGCTGTCTGGTCCTCATGGAATGTTTCTACTTAAAAAATCTTTATATTTAAATATCTAGCAGTTAAAGGCTTACAAAAATATATAAAAAGTTATTTAATAAAATCAACGGTCAGATAAATAAGACAATATTAAGATATCTATTTTAATAAAAAAATGGAAATTTCTTTAGCATTCTGTCATTGATTTGAATTTTACTCTAGGTTAAGACCTAATCTAACATTTGAATTTTTAGCTAGCAGAAGCCCACGAATTGTGACAGCTCCGTAATCGTATTACATATGCAAAGTCCCTATAAGACTAAGCGGCACTCCTACTGGGCCCCTACCTATAAAAACAAAGTGGATCCTCCATACTATACAATGTGACGTAGACAGTATGATCAATAATTAGTTTAAAGGTCTGTGTGTATGCTTCTGCAATAAAGTCCCTAGCAATATCCAAAAATTAAGAGTCAAAAAAAAAAAATTAAAAGAGTTCTTAATAATAAAGCCTATTATAAAGTGTCTGATTATATCAGAAAAAAATGCTTGGGTTTAAACTGTTCCAAACGTTCCGGCAGGTTTTTAATATAATTATGATGAAGATGATATGATTTTGTATTGACAACATAACAATATAATATTTATAATTTTTAATTTTTAAGCATGCTTGATCATAATCCTTAAATCAATGTCACAAATTTTCATGTCATAGTAATGATATCAAAGAAAATTCAAATCTTTGCCATAAACATGTAAAGAGGTCAGCACAATAAGGTTTGACAAATTCAAATCAAATCAAGACAAATTCGAAACGAAGGGTTCGAGTCCTGTCTGCTGCCTGGTCCGCGTGGATTTTTTTTCTGGTTATATTTTCTTAAGACAAATTCAGTTTATTAACATAAAGATTATTTTTATAAACTGCTTGAAATACTAATGTTAATTTAAAACTTCTATGAAATTTATAAATAAACTTACTGATCTTGTGTTAATTACTTTGCTTGGCTGAGAGCATTCAGGATTTTGCTTTGCATTCCGATACTTGACCGGATGCTTCTTCATTAAAGTCTGCTTTTGGCTGTTAGTGGCAGTTAATGGTTGACCAGAAGTACCTTTTAATTCAGACCATTCTTCTCTCAAGCGAATCCTTTCAGCTATTGCTGAGCGGCGCTGCAAAAACATATATCAAATTTTATTAGTGTGGAGTCGTAAAATAGCAAGTTACATGTAACTACTTCACTGTTTGTGATTTACTCACCAATCCTGCAGCACTCCTGTTATTTTCCTTATTCATGTTGCTAAGCTAATTAACTAATACTATCAAATACAACTAAAACAAAAAGGTAAACACTATAGTACTTCTACAAAACCCAAATTTGTAAGCAACTTAGATAGTAATTGTATCTAATCTTACTTTTAAAATACAAGGAGAGCTAATAATTTTTACTCACATCACATATTTTTACAATCCTTGTTAATTGGTTACGATAGAGTTCATTATTTTAGGTTTTAAATGAGTGTTGTTTAAAATTTGAATACTTTGAAAAACTTTTGTTAGAAAGACAACAATCAATACGAACAAACTTCATTCATTCATGTCGTGACATGACAGCCACGACACCGACAGCCATTTAGTGTTACTAACTTCCGAAAATATTTACCCCAAAAACTACTTTTGAAACAAAACAAATTCTAATGTGTTCCTTCCTTTCTACTTTCACCCATTAGAAGTGAACAATAACCTTTTGGCCGTAAGAATTCAGTTGCAAATTGTAAATATACATTTAAATCTCAAAATCTCGAGTGTTAAAACTATAGATAGGTTAAAACTGTCAACGTTTGAAACCAACAAAATCTTTTGAATTCTTTTTTTATATTTCACGGGACAAAAATAACTGGCGGGAATCTTTTATTTTTGTCCCGTGAAATACAAACAAAGGTAAGTTATAAAACAATACAATACACCTACACAGACAATAGTTCTCACAATTCCCCTTAAATTTGGGGGAAAATCCTTAAGTTGGTAACAGGACATGTCACTGACAGTGACAGCACCAATGACATTGACGTATTTGTCTGTTGCTTTTTTTTTTTGGTTAAGTTCTCCCTTTACAGGGAAGGCAAGGGGAACAATGCCCATACAGCCTAGTCTTAAGTTAAATTATTCTGTTTTTCTTTTTACATTAGAATGTCGGTGTGACGCATTCTAATGTTTCTTGAAGTGTTTGGCACGAAATGAATCGAGCTGGCTTTTTCGATAAGCTTCTGTGAGGTAGTCAATACTACAATAAAATTCTCACGTCCACTTGACCGGAAAAGCGTATATTTTGACGATTCTACTAATTCTTCAGTTACGCAGACAGTTGTAACACAAAATCACACCAATTTTATTTCACAATATCCACTACGAACGAATTTAAGAATAATTAAAATAAGACGCCAACCACACTCGATGAAATCCCGCCAAAAACTCTGCTTTTTTTTATTGAAATTCTCCCGTTTTAGTGAAGGCAAATGCCCATACAGCCTAGTCTTTAATTAAATTAATCTTCTTTTTGTTTTTACATTAGAATGTCGGTATGACGCATTCTAATGTTTCTTGGAGTGTTTGGCACGAAATGTATCGAGTTGGCTTTTTCAATAAGCTTCTGTGAGGTAGTCAACACTACAATAAAATTCTCACGTCCACTTGACCGAAATAGCGTATATTTTAACGATTCCACTAATTCTTCAGTTACGCAGACGGTTGTTACATAAAACCACACCAATTTTATTTCACAATATCCACTATGAACGAATTTAAGAATAATTAAAATAAGACGCCAACCGCACTCGATGAAATCCCGCCAAAAACTCCATTTGTCTGTTGTTTTATTTCTCTTGGGCAAAGGCTTCCAATGCCCTATCACATACAGATTTATAAGAGGATTTCTTGGTTTTTCGAGCAACTGTAATTCAAGGTTTTTTTAAAGTCAACCGACTTATATGTAGTCCAACCGAGTATCTGCCTCCAAGAGTCCAACGACCAATGAATTCGAAGACTAATGACTATGAAGTATGATTTCAAACGAACCGATACGTTTATATTTTCGACAGGTGGTCTATAAAATTATCTATTTGAAAAGAAAGTTATCGGAAGAGAAGACATTAAGTACGTGTTTCGAAGTAGAGATAGTTGTTCAATAGGACTAATTGGAATAAAAGGCTTTCTCATGATTATATCAATATGTCGTAAAATTCAGACTTCTGCTTTTCTGAGTTCATGCCTTTTTAAGTAGGTATTGGTGTTGATTCTGGCATGATTCTTAAAGATCAATTTCTCCTTTTAATTTTGTATAGAATGACAAGGTTCTCTTGACGGGGACACTGTTGTTAAATTTAAGCTTAGATTTAGAGAATCATGCCAGAATGGATACCATAGTAAATACAATCAGACACAAAAAATACTTTTAATTTTTCAATGCTTTATTTTTATACAAATCTATGAAGAAGTTTGCACTTCAAACAGACTTTTTAACGTGAACCCTTCTTTTAACGGCTCTATGGCTAGACCCAAATAAGGGCTGTAAACAGGTTGCACTTCAGTTTCTTCGTTATTCTGTGATAGCTGCGACGCCAAATATAAATTAGGTCCCATCTCTCCGCGTGGTTCGCCTATTTCCTCAAGTTCTGCTATATCGTCAACGGCAGGTTTTGATTGCTGGAATAATAATCATTTCTTGTTATAAAGTACTTAAGCATGTAGACCTGCACTCTTTTTCTAAATCCCTTTAAAAAGACCTGAAGAAGCACCTTGCAAGTCGGCAGTCGGGTGGACTAAACTTATATATGTGTAGTCTATGTATATATAATATATAAAACTAGTTTTTCACGGGTTAATGCACGAAACTTTATTTATTTATTGACGTTTCGTAAATAAAGTTTCGTGCATTAACCCGTGAAAAACTAGTTTTATTTAATGAGTGATGTGCGTGAAAACCTAAGAAACAAATATATATATATATATATATCATATGTATAAATGTATGTATATATATTTAACTCATAAACACGTTTAAATCCCTTGTTTCTTTTACTGACACCGCCGACTCTAGCTTTCTTTCAATCCTCTCCATCCAAAGGTTGTCTGGAAGAAATCGTAATGTCCCTCATTTCTGTTCTGTGTTGTGGTGTTTTCAAATAAAGTATTGTGTATTGTATAGTATTATCAGAATTCCTAATGGAGAGAGATAATCTTTTTATAAGGCCCTAATCATAGCTATTATGGAAAACTATGGCTTGAGCCTTTAAGCCCCACACCTGGTATACTAATGGAGAGAGCTTAAAGACGATGACATACTAAAAAATCGGTTGTAAAGGTAATCCATTGTTGTAACCAGAGGTAGCTTTACTTATGGTGTGGAACTGTAGTAGTGTGCTTTTGCTGTGGAGTCTCAGGGGGAGGCGCGCACTCGCCATCATTCCATTTTGACTGATTTAGTGAGCGCTAGGATAATAAATTCACATGCTACATGAGGTTTCTATGTTTTTTTAACACCTCTAGCTAGAATTTCTAGCTAGCAGCCTCGGGCTGAAAGTGGTTGACATCTTCATATATACATTATTTAAAAAAAAACGTGTTTTTAATCACGTACTCGTATTTTATGTTAGCCCATAAGGCCGCAAACTCGAACAAATAAGAAAACTAAGCCATGGGCTTAAGTGATATACTAATGGAGGAATTATGGACTTGAGACTCTTCTGCCTGTAACCAACCTCATTACTCCACGTCATTTCCACACCGAATATGGGCTTCTCCGTGTACGCCTGGTGAAGAGCCTGCAGTTCTGACAGCAGCGGCCGCAGCCTGTCCCGAGGGTCTGCCCTGAAGCCAAGCACGTAGCTCCCAGACGAAGGTCTCACCACGAACACCAGAGCTTCGCCAAACTTGGAGTCGCGGATGTTGATCTGTGAAGACAATATATATGATGCTCATGCAAAAAACATCAGCGTGATTCAGATATTACTACGTGGAACTTACTTGGCAGTAAATAAAACTAGTTTTAACGGGTTAATGCACGAACTTTATTTATTTATTGACGTTTTGCAGCGTTTTTAGGTCTTCATCGTCAGAATAATGATAATGATGACCTGTAAAGGCTGCGAAACGTCAATAAATAAATAAAGTTCGTGCATTAACCCCTTAAAACTAGTTTTATTTAATGAGTGATGTGCGTGACCCAAGAAACAAATATTACTTGACAGTACTTATGTCACAGGCCAAGTAGAACTTTTATATCAGCTTCTGAGCATTTGAGCAAAAGCTTAATTATTCGATTGTAGCTAAAAGCTTGGTTAGCTTTGATGTTTTTAAGAAGATGTTAAAGTATATCAATGGTTATATTTGGTTTCAAAAATTGTTATAGAAGGGCTGACAAATAGCGCTATGAGGTTTTTTAAGGAAATATCGAAAAGGTTAGTCGACATCACTGGAGACCGAAGAGCTGGCAGCTACCTCGGACAAAGAATTAGTGTAGCTATTCAAAGGGGGAACGCTGCCAGTATCTTCGGAACCTTGCCTAAAGGGACTCCTTTTTGTAATATATTTTAGTTATTTTAATATATTTTTTAAGATTTTTAGTTCAAGGTTCATTCTTCCTGTATATATTAAAATAAAATATAATTTTGTAATATTTAAGAAATGTATGCTGCCAACACAGACTAAAACTACATACCTATGTCAATTTGATATTATTATATTACCATGATTATTTTCGAGAAATGTAGGGCAGAGTGTTAAGTTGAATTTTACAGAAAAATAACACTATCATTGATGGTGTTGTGATTCTGTTGGTGAGTAAGGTCCATGGGTCTATGAGTTTGGGGCTGGATTCAAGAGTAAGTGAGGATGGCTGGAGCGGTACACGTTTTTTTTTGCAAAATTTAGCTATCTTCGCGACTCCACTTCCATTTAATATTAGGTGGTAGTAGGCCTTTGCCCCAGCAGTGGGGAGATTAATAGGCTGATGATGATGATGGGGCAATTTTCTACGCTTCGTATATGTCGTAGGATGATTTGATAAATCGAATTTAGGCGAAAAGGTTTTGCGAAAACGCGGATAATTAGACAATGGCAATGGCATTTCTCAAAGAAAGAGGATTGATTTTTCTAACTGAAAGTAGATTGATTTTTTGCGAAAAAGCGTGTCAACTCTGTAAGATTGCGATTCGTTATCATTCGTGTAAATAATTGTGGATTTTTGGATTCACACTAAACCTAGTGTTAGACCTATTTGCTAACTGATTTTGACACATAAAAGTGATAATCACCGAGCTATTTAGTGATCCATTATTGCTTTATCATAACGCCGCTAAGATACATGTTCTGAAAAGCACCAATGGATATGCAATTTAATAACACTATCATTGATGGTGTTGTGATTCTCTTGGTGAGTAAGGTTCCATGGGTCTATGAGATTGGAGCTGGATAAGAGTAAGTGAGGATGGCTGGAGCGGCGCACGTTTTTTTTTGCAAAATTTAGCTATCTTCGCGACTCCACTTCCATTTAATATTAGGTGGGACAATTTTATTTTTGAGGAGCTCGATGGCGCGGGTGGTTAGCGCGTTCGGCTGCGATCGTTGAAGTTAAGCGACTTTCGCAGTGGTCGCTCATTGGATGGGTGACCAATCTCGAGTTCCTCAATGCTTCGGAAGGGATATTATACCGTTGGCCCCGGCTGCATCTGCAGTCGTTAGCACCCACCAATCCGCACTGGACCCGCGTGGTGGGTCATGGCCCAATCTCTTAATTCCAGACATAGGGAAGGCCTGTGCCCCAGCAGTGGGGACATTAATAGGCTGATGATGATGATGGGGCAATTTTCTACGCTTCGTATATGTCGTAGGATGATTTGATAAATCGAATTTAGGCGAAAAGTTTTGTGAAAACGCGGATAATTAGACAATGGTATCGATTCTGGCCTGATCCTCTAAAGCTAAACTTAAATTTGACAACGGTGTATCCCTGTCGTTCTCTATACAGAATGAAAAGGATAGACTGATCTTTAATTTAGTTTTAAATTTAGAGAATCCTGCCAGAATCGATACCACTGGTGATGACATTTAATTGGTCAATCTTACTATAACGAAATTTTTGTGGCGCTTCGCCAGTTGCTGCTACCTTGGCTCGCGCGTCATGGTCACGACACAAACCTTAGCCGCTAACTTTTTTGAAATTTACAGTGTGTAACTAAAGAGGAAATTGCATATCCATTGGTGGTTTTCAGAACATGTATCTTAGTCGCATTATGATAAAGCAGTAAAGGATCACTAAATAGCTCGGTGATTATCACTTTTATGTATTTATGTCAAAATAAGTTAGCAAATAGGCCTACTTGTTAGCTTAGGCTTAACACTAGGTTTAGTGTGAATCCAAAAATCCACGATTATTTAAACGAATGAAAACGAATCGCAATCTTACAGAGTTGACACGCGTTTTCGAAAATAATCAATCTTCTTTCAGTAAGATTAATCAATCTTCTTTCTTTGAGAAATGCCATCGTCTAAATATCCGCGTTTTCGCAAAATCTTAGGATTTTTGAGAATTCAATTTATCAAATCATCTTACAACATTCTTAAAAGGCAAAAAAAAATAATTTAGGCGAATGAAAACGAATCGTAATCTTACAGAGTTGACACGCGTTTTCGCAAAAAAACAATCTTCTTTCAGTAAGATAAATCAATCCTCTTTCTTTGAGAAATGCCATTGCCATTGTCTAATTATCCGCGTTTTCGCAAAATCCTAGGATTTTTGAGATTTCGATTTATCAAATCATCTTATGACATTATGTTTTTATTTTTTTAAGCATTTAACTGCTAGATGTTTAAATCTAAAGAAAAGTTTAATTAGAAAAAATCCACGCGGACCAGGCAGCGGACGGGACTCGAACCCGAACCCTTCGCTATCCGGGCGAATGCACTGACCAATTATGCTACCACGGCCCTGATGGCCGCGTCGAAATCTTCCTAGCTTCAAGCTGCAAGGCCGCGCCATCTCTTCGCACTGTAGGTAACCCACAATGTGAAATGAATACTTTTTCAAGTATTAAACATTTAAAAGAAGAAATAGCAATTACAGTTATGTTTAATTTTTTTTAAGCATTTAACTGCTAGATGTTTAAATCTAAAGAAAAGTTTTTCTAGTAAAATTACTACTATACTTAACTAGCTTACTAGCTTTTACCTACCATAATTGGTCAGTGCATTCACCCGGTTTGCGAAGGGTGCGGGTTCGAGACCCGTCCGCTTTTCTTTAGTGTTAAACATCTTACGACATTGTTAAAAGGCAAAAAAATACTCTTTCCGGACAACCTATTAATGTCAAATATGGCGTCTTCGAGCTTTTTAATAGTGTGATTATCACCATCGATACTATGCCAAATCGGTATGTGATAAAAAGATGATGATTATGAAGATTATCGACAAAACATAAACTAACACTTTCTATAGTTATGTAAGGCATGGACACGTTAAAAGCCTCGTTGATATCCGCGTACCAAACCACTCGCACGTTGGTGACCAGCAGCGTGCCAAGATTGCCAGAATCGCTGGACAAGTTCCATATGCTATGCTCTTGCAGGCAGACCTGGGAACACAAGACAGACACAGCTAAAAAATTGTCCTTAACTGGTGGTAGGGAAAAAATATGGACGATTCAAAAGAGTTGTATTTTGTATCCAATTTGAATAAAGATATTGTCACAAACGCTGTCGAAACGGAACCGCGAATGTGCTAGAAATCGAATTTGCCAGATCACCGCGGGTCGCGATAGAGGTCGAGTAATGCGGCTCATTCTGAAATTATCCTTATGCAGTGCGACGTAAGGGAGAAAGTGCAACGACATCTGCACTTGTTTACAAGTTATGCGTGTTACCTGCGTAGGTATAAGTAGGTATTACGTACTCGCGGGTGCTAGGTAATTCTCAATTTAACAGGTACTTTCTAGAATGCGTCGATCGGCGTATATAAGCGCGATTGGCGCCGCGCAGAGACAGTTGAGTTTCAACAGCGATTTCGGAGCGAATCCAAAGGCGATCAAAGTGCAACAAAAGTGATCAAGTGTGATTGTTTAGAGACTGGTATAGTGAAATACAGTGTTTAGTGAGTGTTTTGTAATTAACATTGTGTGTGTTAATTGTGTGAACTGTGTGGTGAATAAAGAGCTGTCAAGCGTGAACTGGCATATAGTTTCGAACCCCATCCCGACACGTAACAATATTTTGACTTTTGAGATAGCTGTTATCACAATGAACAAGAGAGGTTTTCCAATTTTTCAATCTTTCATTTCGTCAAAGTAAAAGAATGGAAATTCTAATTGGAAGCTTAATTTATGTTTAACACACACCAGCTTAGGGAGTTCGGTAGCGCAGATGGTAAGCGCGTTCGGCTGCGATCGTTGAAGTAAAGCAACTTTCGCAGTGGTCGGTCATTGGATGGGTGGACCAAAAATCTTCTATCTCGAGTTTCTCCGTGCTTCGGTTGGTCCCGGCTGCATCTGCAGTCGTTAGCACCCGCCAATCCGCACTGGGCCCGCGTGGTGGGTCATGGCCCCTCCCTATTCTATCCCTAGGGAAGGCCTGTGCCCCAGCAGTGGGGACATAAATAGACTGATGATGATGCTCACCAGCTATTTTGACGGCTGACACCATTCACATTAAATATGGAGTTGAAACAAAGATAATTTGATTGTCATTAATTGCTTAAGATGTATCTATAAGTATTACCTTTTCTAGTGGCAGCATTTTCAATTGCTTGTTGTGTATGATCGTACCTCTTAGTTTTAGATCTCTATACATTCTTGAGGCTGCGTATGCTCTGAAAAAAACGTCAATAGAAATCGGTAAATAGCGCTGTCATAAAAACGCAATTTTTCAGCGTCGCGTAATTCATGGTACAATGGCAATAGTTTGAACACCTTGGTCACGGTAATATTATCTATACAGTATTCAATACTGTACTGAGTATACTCCGCCCTGTCCTTGAAAATAAATGCCTACACCGAAAGCTGCGTTGGCACGCGGTAGGGCCGCCAGCCTACAGTATTTTATGTAGTTTTGTTTTTAACGCGAGTGTAGGTAGATTACTCGTTTGTCTCTTTTTTCATCCTAACCACTTATTTATATATTATTCCAGATATTTTGCCCGATGGAAAAACCGAAATACCTAAATATAAGAAACAAATAACGTACTAGTAGATAGGTATATAAAAAATATTCTATAAAAGTAAGACACCTTTCCAATATATCAGGTAATTTAAAAAATAATATCTCTGGGTGTGTTATTGAAGAGTTCAAGCAACCAAAAACAGCAATTGTGCTGTTGTACGATATTGATCGTCGTTTGTTCTTTTCCATACTAAATTATGTAGGTATCTACTTAATTAAATCAAATATTTACAATACAAAACGCATGTTTAAGCACGGCTAACTGCATAAAAAACAATTCAGACCGTTCGGTCGTCGTTGCGGCGCGGCGGCGCATTCGCGACTGGGTGCCCGCCGAGAGCACATCGAACTCGAGTGGCGTAGGTATGACTCGCTTTCCGACCGCGCGTTTGTATGAAGATAGAATACTGTATGATATTATTACCGTGCCTTGGTGGAGTGGTATGTTTACCGGTTTTAAGGTGTACGGTGTACCAATCTACCATGAGTTCTTGGGTTTTTTTGTGGTTGTTCTACCGACGAGAGTCAGAAATGTTATTTAACTTTTGTTTATTATTTTCTTTAGCTTTTGGTATAATATTTTTTAATTTCAATACGAGTTTCAATCAAAGGGTGTACGCGACGACCGAAGCGAGAAGAAATAAACTTACGACAATATGAGATTGATTTATAAAATGTATCTATAATTTCACATGTATCGGTTGTATACACACTAAAATGATTATTCCCTTGTTGTCTTATTAGAATGAGTCGGATATCGCAATAATAGATAGCTTTGCCCATAATAAACGATTGTAAAATTGATAGTTCAGAGCGATATTCCGTCTCTTTCTCTCCAACAATCTTATAAGAATTTGTCTAAACGATCGCCACGACGCCAAGCGGTGGCGCGGGGAAACTAGTTAGAATATTGATAGTTCCGACCTATAGGAGGGACAGAGACGATAGGCTGTCCTTTTCTAACATCTTATAAGATTTTACCTGAATTGTAAGCATTCGTAAATAGTATGTTTTTATGTTTCGATTTATTTGTTTTATATCTTATTAGGAAATAGGTAGTTATAAGAGTAATATATCAAAGTTTTGTGTAAATCGTATTAATAGTTTAGGCATAATTGAGGAAAATGTCAAATATAGTTTTTTACGAATAGTTGATAGGATATAGGTATAATTGTAATGATAATGATGTTGTTTTGTGTGTTTTTACTTCCTCTATAAAATGATATATGATAGTTAGGCATTAAGTGAATGTAAGTAGGTTTTTTAAGACTTTTTAATTTGTAATCTTTATAGGGCCGCAGAGCTGTTATTTCTTAATATTCTTATTAGAAACTTATTGTATTAGGTAAATAACGCATAGGACTACATAAATAAATAGGCATCACATCAATAAATGTAGAAATGTACCGTGTAGGAGACAAAATCTGTTTGTATAGAACGGTTTTCTAAGACATGTTGCGCTCCCCACCCGGCGCGCCCGGAGCGCGCGGGTGGGGCAGCGGAGCCCCGTGGCAGGGCGAAGCCCTATGGAGGGGGAAAGTATAAATATTGCGGAGACCTATTTTTTGCGCTCCACACCTAAAATATCATGCTTACGGACACATAATTGTGTTAAAAATATGCCTATATGTATGCCCGATGTATGTACAATTAGTTTTAAGCTCGCACTTATGTAATTTTTGAGAAAATGAAAAATAAAGTATAGCGGGGGTGAGGTAATGGATCGCTGGCCAGCTCAGTCCTAGCATATAAAATTCGAGTCGGAACATGCTCCGACATGCATTCAGCGACAGGCGCTCCTACCCTAAGGAACAGGAAGAAACACCAAGCGGTTCACTCTGGAACTGAAGCCTCCTCTCACCGGCCATCCATTATCAGCGCCCACCGATTTCTTCAATACCGAACACCAGGGGTTTTATTCGCCGAAACAACAGTCCACTACAGTCAAGACTCCTGCGTGTAACTTCCTCCACCCCGCAGTACGAGTCGGTAACTGTCCGCTACTGCGACAGCCCGGCGTCCCGTACAAAGGGGTTGGGTTCCAGTTGGATTTACCCATAGTATCCCATTGCGGAAGCCGTACAGTGCTTACTTTATGGTTAGGCTAATTGGTGTAAGTATAAGAAATTTTTATTTTTTTTATTTTTAGTATGTGCTTATCTGTAAGGGAAGACTATATCCTTAGAACTATATGAAAATAAAAATGAAAATATATTTATTTGAATTAATTAAGGTTACATATCTAATTAGGTTAGTTAATAGCTATATTAGTTTCTAGAACTGTGTTACAGCTATTAGCGCCCACCTCCAGATACAGAGACGTGTGCACATAAATAAAAATTACAGTCCTTATCTTACCATTTACTTAAAAAAAAATGGTTGCCTGTAAAGTCGGTTTTACGGGCGAAGATTTTACGTGACAACGTCTTTTTCTCGGTAGAATATTTATTGATATGAATATAATTAAATTGCACAATAGGAACAAGGAATTGAATGAAAATAAGAATTGCACAAATTTTAACTATAGAAATATATTTTGTTTACTAAAACATTGTACATGTAAACTTAAACTTAACACGAGAGACTCATCGTAACGTTACCGAGCGTTACACTTTTTCATAAGTGACTCCCAGCCGCAACCTAATTTAAGACGTTGTCACGTCAATAAAAAGTATGCATGTGTGTGTGTTTGTATGTATGAGTCTGTATTTGCGTGTGTGTCTGTATGTGCATGTGTGTATGTTTATGAGAGTGAGAGTGTCCGGCTGTACTAAAATGATATTTGCATGTGATTTCACATGTATATCCGTGTATTATTTGATGACCTTGAGTAAGTTCTCCATAAATCCCTTCTCAAGGGTCGATGGCTCCCAATGAAGGCTTAAAAATCGTTATGGTTAGAGGCATCCTTCACGGATTCAGTCAGTAGTAGTCTGATACACAGCCGCCTGTATGGTACTGTGGGGTGGCCAAAGGGGAAGATCTTCCTCCGAGCTGGGTGATGGTAGCTCGGGGGCCGCGGTCCAACTGATGTCGGTCGGGCATCATATATATGAAGAGTTAGCCTCTGAATTTCATTTGCGCGATGTAAGCTTCCATACTATTTTGATCGCAGTGCAGGTAACGCCATCTCTTGAGGATGGTGAGTAATGATTTCCTCCATCCGTTGTATATATGTGGGGCATATAGATGTCGCCGTCACAGTACCTATGATGATTTCACACGTGCTCCCGCTTACAGGTACTATGGTGACTTCTTAACAACAGGTCATATGGTTGTGTGCCACATTTTTTACATTAAACACGAATGTGTATTTATTACACTTATTCCGTGCGGTGACGGAGAAAGAATACAACTCACCGCCCCTTCTCTTCCCGTGGGTGTCGTAAGAGGCGACTAAGGGATATCGGAGCTTCCATCCGCTCTGCTGGTGGTAGGGTGCCTAACACCCGCCTGGTTTGTTACCACCGTGCGCATGGTGAAAAACCCGTGAAGTGCTTCTCGCGCGTTTCGGGGTCAGCCAGCGTACAACCAGGGCTCGAGTGGAGGTTGTCGCGACGGATTCGGTCCAGGGCTAGGCATCCGTGGAACCGATGCCGGGAGGACTGCATCGACCCGCCGGCCAGGGAGACCCGTAGAAACGGCTGTCCCGCTGGCCGCCCGTGGCACAGTACAGGGGCCCGAGCGTTCCTAACCAGTTCGCGAGGCTGCCCCATCATGTCACGCATAATCTCGGGGTGGACCGTCGTGCCGGTTGGTGACCGGGGCGTGGGGTCCCGGCGGCCACTTCCGGGGGGGTGCGGGGGCCCTTCCGTCCGGCGGGTCGGCGTATATCCTCTGCAGGCAATCATTCGGGGAAACATGCCTCCCTAATTTTCCCGGTCTTGTCGCGACAACGTCCACTCGTTTCACGTCTCTTTTTCACTTCCATAATGGCAGCTCCTAAAACAAAGTTTGGACGTTCAGCGGTGCACACCCCCACGCCTTCAACGCTGTTTGAGGTCGAGTTCTGCAACATACGCGGACTCCACTCTAACCTCAACGCTGTCCACCACCATCTTGAGACAGCACGGCCAGCATTGTTGTTCCTGACGGAGACACAAATACTTCCGCCTGCTGACACAGGCTACCTTAATTATCCCGGCTACGTGCTTGAAGAGTCCTTCAAAGCGAAAGCCGGTGTATGCCTGTATGTTCGGGCGGATGTTTGTTGTCGCCGTCTCCGCTGCTTGGAAGATCCCTCCTTCTCCATGCTGGGGGTACACGTCGACTCTGGCCCCCTGGCCAGAGTTTACGTGTGTCTCTACAGATCCCACACCGGCGATGTTGAGACAACTCGACTTTTTGAACACCTTAGTCGGGCAGCAGATGACGCGCAGGAACAATTTCCCAATGCAGAATTGGTGTTTTTGGGGGACTTTAATGCTCACCACAATTTGTGGTTAAGTTCCTCCAAAACTGACCATGCAGGGATCTCTGCTCACGCATTCGCTCTCACGCATGACTTGAAGCAACTGGTTGATCAGCCCACCAGGATCCCAGATATTCCAAGTCAAGCGCCTTCTTTACTGGACCTTCTGCTCACGACCCATCCACAGGGCTATCAGGTTGTGGTAAGAGCCCCCCTGGGCTCGTCAGACCACTGCCTGA